CCAGTAGTTAGCATCCACACCCATCCTCTCCGTCATCACATCTTCAGATCTCTCAACCTCTGCCATAAAGTGCAGGTACTCAGTACAACTTGAGTGAGGACATACAATGTGCATCTTTCAAAGTCTCATTCACTCTGCTTAACATGAAGTCTTCAATATTCATCCATTTTGAGTCCAACAATAAGATCTCATTTTTTCGTATAGCTATGTAATATTCCCTAGTAAAGATATGCCACAATTTTTCAACCCAATCATCAGTTGTTGGATACTTACGTTGGTTTTATGTTTCAGCAATAAACATGGATGCACAAGTGTCTTTCCAATTGAGTGTTTTCCTATCCTTTGGGTAAATATGAAGAAGTGGGTTTATGGGGTCATATGGAAGGTCTATTTGTAGGTTTTTGAGAAACATCCATATTGTTTTCTACAAAGGTTGGACTAATTTATATTCCCATCAACAGTGTAAGAGGGTAAGAGGGTTCCCTTTTCAACACAGCCAGATCAGCATTTGTCATTCTTTCTTTCTTTTTCTTTTTTTGTATGCAGCCATTCTAATTGGGGTCAATTGGTATCTCACTGTGGTTTTAATTAGCATTTTCCTTATGTCAAGAGACTTTGGACATTTTTTCATATACCTCTTAGGCATTCATAAGTCTTCTATAAAGAGTTGTCTATTCAATTCATTTGTCCATTTCAAAATGGATGGTTCCTTTTTTATGAGTGAGCTACTTAAGTTCACTATATAGTCTAGATACTAGTCTCTTGTCTAACGAATAATTTTTAAATTGTTGTTCAATTACCTGAGACATTCTTCACAGAAATGGAAAAAACAATTATTAAATATGTCTGGGATAATAAATGATCCCATATTCTCAAAGTAATACAGTGCCCTAAGAATAAACAGGAGGCAGGGCTGGGAGGTGGCGTGGTAGTTAAGGGCATTGGACTCCCATATGGCCAAACATGGTTCAAGTCCTGGACCTGACAGCTTGCTTTCTCACTCTCTCTCTCACTTTCTCTCTCCCCCTCTCTATCTCTCACTCAGTCCCTCTCTGGTCAAATTAAGATGCAATAAATAAATAATAAAGTTAAATAAAATAATTCTTCTAAAAAAGAAAGACTACATAGGATGCATCTTACTACCTGACTTTAAAATTTATTACAAAGCAGTGATAATCAAAATAGAATTGTACTGGCACAAAATTCACTCACAAAAAAGATGAATGGAGCAGAATAGAGAATCTAGAACAAAAATAAAATCATACAGCTAACTGATATTTGACAAAGGGTATAAGACAAGGAGAAGGAGAAAATTCTTTTCAGCAAATTGTGCTGGAAGAACTAGATATCCACTTGCAGAAAAGTAAAGCTGGACCCCTATCTCTCACCATGAACAAGAATCAACTCAAAATAGATTCAAGATTTAAACAGAAATCTTCATACAGTACAGAAAGTATAGGAAAATCTTTAGAAAATATTAGAGTAGGCCAAGATTTCCTAAATAAGATCCCTAAAGCATAGGCAATTGTCCCCAAGATAGACAAGTGGGATTGCATTAAGGAAAAAAATTTCATCACAGCAGAGGAAACACTAATTAGAATGAAAACACAACCCTTGGAATGGGAGAAAATATTTGCAAGTTATTCCTTATGCTATGTGACTGAAACTACAGAAATTTACTTCTTACAGTTCTGGATCCTCGAAGTCCAAGATCAAGATACCTACAGCTTGGGAACCAGCAGTTAGCGTAATGGCTATGTCGCTGGATTCCCACGTAGTCGACCGCGGTTCGTGTCCCGGACCCGGTGGCTTAAAACTCACGCCGGGCGCATGTGCGTGCGTGCCCAAGATCCCGAGAGGAGAATGGAGGAGAAGGGATTGCGGCGTGACCATCCCCCCTGGGGGGGTGATTTCTCACTTTCTGTCTCTATGTCTCTCTCTGTCTGTCTGGCGAGCGCATGCGCCCTACAGTGAAAATCTCTCCAAAAAAAAAAAAAAGTAAAAAAAAAAAAAAAAAGAGATACCTACAGGCCAAGTATCTGGGTCCACTTTCAAGTTTGCAGATGGCATTTGGTTGTGTCCTCGCCTGGCAGAGAGGAGAAGGAGAGCACACATATACACCAGTGCTCCTCCTCTTCTTATAATAATATTAATCCTATAATGAGGGCTCTTTTATAATGACCTCCCAAAGGCCACATCCTAACATCATCCAATTGTAGGTTAGAGTTTCAGCATATAAACTTTGGGGGAACACAAGAAAGCAATGCATAACACTAGGTTCCCCATATTCCCTAATCCTTACTATCTTAACCCTGTATCTCCAATGCTTTGTATTATTCCCTATTCCTCATTATCTTAGCCTCTATTCCCAATTCTTTGTATTATTATCATTACATTAAAATGTATTTTTATTTAACTTTATTTATTTATTTATTTTGACTATTAAAATTTATTTTTATCTAACTTTATTTATTTATTCATTTTATTTTGACCAGAGAGGGAGAGAGTGAGAGAGAGAGAGATAGAGAGAAAATGAGAAAGCAAGCCACCAGGTTGGTCATGTGGGAGTACAGTGCCCTTAATCACCACACCACCTGCTGACCCCAATTCTTTGTATTCTTTGCATAAAAAAACTTGCTTCCAAGAGGCCATTAGAACTTATAAAAACACCTTCTGAGGCATCATCCTCTTTCCAGACAGTGCAAATACATTTCTCTTCCTATTAATAGTAATTGAGCATTTACTATATCCTTGGCTTTGTTTTAAACTTTGTACATTTCTCCAACCCTTTAATCTTCCATACAGGTTTATGATGTAGGTTTTATCATTATCCTCAATATTCAGAAGAGAAAACTGAGGCATAACTTATCCAAAGTCCCACAGGGGACATTCCAATTTAGAGATTCTGAATGGCCCTAATAACTCAACATTTAAACTACACAGTCCTAAAGACAATAATCAGAACTGTGTGAAATTAAAATACGTAAAGGCTTTGGTAATGCCGAATGTGTTTTCTTTAAAGACTTTTTTTAAAGTTCAAAAGCAGTAACTGTTTATTAACTAACCAGATTACAAAAATAATCATGGTAGATACCTTAGTTCATATTTCTAATATATCTGTTGACCTGGTCTTTCCTGTTGCCAGCATCTCCACCTTCTACAAAACGGTGGGGTTTTTCTTAATTCCACCTGGTAGAAAACATAATTTGAAAGTCCGTGGGAAGTTATTTGTTTCTTTGAAGCATTTTCCAACAGTATAGATCTCATAAATCTGATTCTTCATGCAAATATTTCCATATTTATCAAGAGATTGAACCATCGAAGAACTATCGTTAAGGCAGTTTGTTCCTTATTAATTTTGTCATAACTATGCTTGTAGATAAGTTTATTTTCTGACTTTGGGTTTAGGTGCCCCTGTGAGTTATGTGATTCCACATTAAAGAATAGTGATTCTCAAAATGTAGTGCCCAGACAAGCAGCCTCTACATCACATGGGAACCTGTAAGCGTACAATTTCAAGGATCCCAAACCAGACTACAGAACAGAAACACGGGGTGGGCAATGATTTGTATTTTAACAAGTTCTTGGGCTGACTCTGGTGTCTCTTGAAGTTGGGCAAGCAGAGATACCAGTTGGTTGGAACAGAGTTTTGGCGCTCGATCATGTGGCAACTATGTTAAATACTATGGTCAAAAAATGTTATTACCTGTTGATGATGACGTGTATAGTATTCTAAACTCGATTGGTCTGAGAAGTATTTCATGTTGGGTGAAGTCTTTTTACAAGCAAAATGAGAAACAGTGATTGACTGTTTAAAAAAATTGGAATAATAATTATAAAGGTTGGGAAAACAATGAAAAGATATTGGATAATGAAATGGGGATTTTAATGTCTCTCTATTGACTGATATGCATGGTATTCTTTCTGCAACAAGAAATGTAATACACTTTAAAATTATATGTGATTCAATGTAATATAAACAAGATTAAGATGATAATAAATAAATTAAAAATAAACTAAAAACTACGTCTCCCTTGCCCCCAAATCAAAACAATACACACACTCTCTCTCTCTCTCTCTCTCTCTCACACACACACACACACACACACACACACACACAATGTATATGAAAAACTGAATTGTGCTGTCTGTAACACACGAATTGATAGGTGGCAAACAAAACTCCACAATAACCTTAAAATGAGCTCACCAGAATCTACCAAATTCTAAAGTATAGTTGAACACTAATAAACAGCTTATTTGGAATAAAGAATGACACTTTACAAACGGAAAAAAAAAAAGCTGTTACATTAAAACAATGGTGACAAGTTCTAATTACTCATCTCTTTCGGAAGTACTTGGCACGGAAAATGCATTTCCATTTTAACCAACCATGCTGTTGTTCCAGTCAAGGTTACATTTTACACAAATAAAACAGCCTCCTCACGTCCTCACCTCTCGCCCAGTCGGTGGGATCTCACCAGTATTCCTAGCAAAGCTCTGGCGGGAAATTCAACGTCTTCAAAACAAAACAGACCTTGGCCAATCAGAAGCCAAGTTAGAGCCACTGCCCCACCCTGAAGATCTGATTGGTGGTATCCCTCAAGCGGAAGACACTCACCGGCCACGCCCCGCGTCCTCCAGAGCCAGCCAATCATTGCTCCGCAGCGGAAAGGTCAAAAGCGCGCCAGCGATTGAGCATGGCGGAGGACGCTTCCTCAACGGCCCTGAGCCCGCGGGGATGTGCGGACGGAAAGGATGCAGACCCCGCAGAGGAGCTGAAGGCCGAGAGGAGGAAAGACGACCAGGAACAGTTCGAGTGCCAGGAGCAGCTTGAGTGCAAGATGCAGGTCGGGACCCTCGAGGAGGAGGAGGAGGAGGAGGAGGAGGGCTCGCCGGGGGCGGTGGCCGCGGGCTGGATGCTGGATTTCCTCTGCCTCTCTCTTTGCCGAGCCTTCTGCGATGGCCGCTGTGAGGACTTCCGTAGGACCCGGGACAGCGCGGAGGGTGAGTGCGGGGGCTGCCGGGTGGGGGCTGCGGAGGCCTGTGCCCTGCGCTGTTCCTCAGTGGGGTCGGGGTGAGGAGGGTCCGGCGAGGCCAGTGAGTTGAGGTTCCGAGGCTCCGAGGCTCGGGACTGAGTTTGGTTCCAATCCAGATTTTGCCAATGTCAGCTCCTCGGTTTTTCTCAGGTTCAGGTTTTCCCCTCGATAAAATGAAACAAAGACCCGATTAGAGTGGACAGAAGGACTAAATGACTTAAAGTGTATAAAACTGCACCCATCCTTGTGCCCAGCTCGTTCTGTCTCATTTGGCTGGTGTTCCTATAGTAGTACTTCTGAGCAAAATCCCTAGCTTCTAGCGACCTCGGCCTCAGTATTTCATGCTAATTCGGGAGGTTTTTAAAGCACATTTGGCCAGGAGCCAGTGGATGGCGCAGCGGCTACTTGGATGGATTCCCACCTGGTCTGTGGTTGGAATCTAGGCCCTGTGACTTGAAAGTCGCGCCTGTGACTTGAAAGTCGCGCCGAATGCCTGCTGAAGATTCCTGGAGGAGAATGGAGGAAAAGGAATTGCCCCTTGACTGTGTCCGGTCCTCCCGTCGCCCCCCCCCCACCTCACCCCCAGCGATTTCTTACTTTCCCCTCTTACTTCCTGTGTGTCTCTCTGGCCAGCGCACAGTCCCATAGCGCAAAACTTCTTAAATAAAAAAAGTAAAATAAACCTCCTTTGATCTATTTGGTCAGTATAGGGCTCAGAATAAAAGTATTTGCCCATGAGATCTGCTGCCTGCACGGCTTGTAAGTGATGGACAAAGGCACTGAATTTACAGTATTAGCATATATTCATCATTGTATAGAAATAGAATTTAATAGGAAATTCTCAGAAAGCTGTATTGACATGTTATCTTCCCAATAACCCGCTGAGTTAGGCAGATAGTTTACTTAGTGTAGAGAGGCCTGAATAATTGACTTAGTTTAGAGGTGCTGACAGGTCAAAAGCGGTGTTCCCGAACTATACCTTATCTTTCAGTGGGACATCACAGATAACACTGGAACCCAACCATGAATAATTATTAATTGGAAAATTAAATCCTGCAATGATGCCAGTTCACCCTAATGGGAATTATTTAAAAATCTTACTTGGGGAGAAAGCTAAGATTGTGTGTGTGGTAATGGAGAGTTGGAGACATCAGTTTAAACTCCTTCTTAGCTAATAGCGATATAGATGAGTATAGCGGTATTTACGTGCGTGTGTGTAGACATGGATTGCTAGACACACATGTTCCTTGCTCTATTAGATGATAGGGCACAGGCAGCGTAATCTGTGTAGCAACAAATACACTTAGCACGCTAGTCTTGGTTTCTTATACCGTTCTACAATGAAAGGAACTAGAGCTCTTTGGAGAAATGACTCTTTCTGGGACTTGGAAAGGAAATATACAAGGTAAACCTGTAATGCCAGAAAGTAAGGAAGTGCTCCAAAACAGAACAAAAACTCCCTCAGTTAAAGGGAAACAAGAGCCATCTGTAAGAGCCTCCCAATGGCCAAAGCTGAAGCAACTAGAGCAAGAAAGAAAAGTAGCATTGCTTTATAACCCAGAGCATAAAGTGAATATCCGTGAGTCCATACTGATCAAAAATAAATGATTGCATAAATAAGTGGGAGAAGAGGCAAATCTTCCATGCAGAAGAACCCCAGGTAACTTAATGTAGCTGCTCTGTCTTCAAGGAGGTGGAGTATAACTCTGCACTCCTGCATGTAGTGACATTCTCCCAAAATGGACAGTAAAGGAAAGAAAAGTAAGCTTACAGCAGAGAAACCTGTTAATTACTACCTCAAATAGTTGATCAAGGTCAATATCCAAAGTGTCAGTTGAGGGACCAGCAGTTAACGTAATGGCTATATCACTAGACACCCATGTAGTCAACCATGGTTCATGTTCCCAGACCCAGTGGCTTGAACTCACGCACGCGTGCGTTCCTAGGTTCCTAAGAGGAGAATGAAGGAGAAGGGATTGTGGTGTGGCCTTCCCCCCTGGTGGGTGATTTCTCGTTGTCTTTCTCTATCTTTCTGGTGAGCACACATACACTATAGCAAAAACCTCTCCCCAAAAAGTGACAGTTGGTAGTATGTATGCTAGTGCGTGGTATGGTCTTCCTTCAAAAAAACCCATAATTTTAGGGGTCAACAAGTGGTGTGAAGGCTAAGCCCCCTGATCCCACATGGCCAGCTTCCCAGATTGAGAATCATGCCAGGTGATTATGTGTGCATTCCCAAAATCCCAAGAGAGTGGAGGAGAAGTGATTTTGATATGGCCATTCTTCCTAAGGGAGAGGCAGTTCCTCACTTTTATCTCTCTCTGTGGTGACTGCACGTACTCTATACCTGAAAACTAAAAATAAATGAAAAAAAATCATAACTCTAATTATGAAAAAAGTACAAGCCAGATCTCAGCAGAGGGACTTCCTACAAAATATCTGACCAAAATGTCAAGGTCACCAAAATGAGGCAGAGTCTACAAAACTCCAAAGCAAAAAAGTACCTAAAAAGACATGATAACCGGGGAACCAGCAGTTATTAGTGTAATGGCTATGTCGCTGGACTCCCACGTAGTCCACCGTGGTTCGCATCCCGGACCTGGTGACTTGGAGCTCACACCGGGCACATGTGCGTGCATGCCCAAGATTCCGAGAGGAGAATGGAGGAGAAGGGATTGTGGTGTGACCATCCCCCATGGCGGGGGGTGATTTCTCGCTTTCTGTCTCTCTGTCTCTATCTGTCTGGCAAGCGCACGCGCCCTATAGTGAAAAACCTCTCCAAAAAAAAAAAGAGACATGATAACTGAACGCGGATCCTGCTGCAGATGAAGGTGGTTAAATAAAAACTAAAGAAATTTGAACAACACATGGACTTCAATTAATGAGAATGTATCAATATTAGTTCACAAATGTAACGCATATCATAAGATGATAGGAGAAACTGCTAGGGGTAAATGGGACTTCTGTATTATTTTCACAATATTTCCATTCATTTGAAACTGTTTAAAAAGTATTTTAAAACACAAAAACCTTTCAAGGTTCTAGCTAAAGAACTGAGAGATACTCTAGGCCGCCCCCATTATTTAAAGGTGAGCGGCACAGAAACCCAGAAAGAATAATCTGTTTTTCAAGTTGCAGTGTTAATTGGTAACTGAAACACAAATTATCAACAGGGTGTATATATTTCCATAATTAACTAAAGAACTCTTACAGAATTTTATTACACTTTTTGAAATTATACATATATGCACTTCTTGTTGCTTTCTAGAAAATTCTCAGCTCCTTCACTTACACTCAAAATTATTCTTATACCTCATGTATCGCAGTACCTGTTTGAGGCTGTTCCTCCTAATGTATCCCCTGCCATGGGAAGCTGTGCAGTAGGATAGTGATTAAGAACTTGGGCTCTGGGGCCAGCCCATAGCACAGCAGTGAAGCACTGCCACAGCTCACATGACTGACTGCAGTTCATATCCTGTCCCCTCTGACTAGTACAGTATGTACTGCACTTGTGCATACCTGTCTGCCTAGAATTACAAAGAGATGGAAAAATGGTGGAAGATTGGCTGGGACCACACCCTCTGGAGAGGTCTCAGTCTTTCTCTCTCATTCTCTTGTCTGTGTGTACACATTCTCTAGCAATGAAAAAAAAGCACATAGGCTCAAGAGTAAATAGCTCAAATTTGTTTCCTAACTCTGCTATTTTATGGCTGTAAAACCTAAAACAATGCTCTTATCCTCTTGGTGCTTCAGTTTCCTAATGTGTACAACAACAATAATATTATCTAGAGCTGTTGAAAGAAAAAACTGAATTGATATATGTAAATTATGGTTTCTTAACCTTGACACTTGACATTTTGGACCACATAGTTGTTTTTTTCCCCGATGAAACTGTCATTATTAGTTGCCAGAGGGTAGGTGCACTAAGGGTGGGGAAGGCATCCATGCTTGTGTCACGTGGTCATGCCACAGTCCCTATCATGTTGGGATTTTGGACACACATGCATAAGAACCTGGTATGCTTTTTAAGTTACTGGGGCTGGGATCTTAACCCCATAGTTGGCCATGTGATATCCAGCTCCCTTAACCACTAGGCCATAGCGCCAGCCCATAATTAAAGAAAATTTTTTCCCTTTGTAATTCACAGAGGGCATGTGAACTCACTAGAGAGAGGGAGGGAGGAGGGAAGGAGGGAGGGGGAAAGAGAGAGAGAGAGATCCACCCTCCCAGTGGAATATGGTTACTCTGTAGTCCTTCCATTTCTCCATCCTACCAAGATTTGGGCATCCACTCACATGTTCCCAGCCTGGTCATCAAGCTGCGGGGGCTGGGCCTTGAACCGCCCTCAGCCATGTGGGATTTAGCTCCCAGTATACTACCCCAACTACTGATCTATGGGGTCAGCCCTGGAACACATAATTATTCACTGGGGGGTGGAAGTGGGCTTCTCTCCTGTGTATTATAGGATGTTTGGCAGCATCCCTTGCCTTGGTCCACTAGATGCCGGTAGTCCTCACATACAACTCATGACAGTCATAAACGTCTTCAGACCCAGCTTTGGTGGTACAAGCGCTATTGTAAGACCCAGGGTTTGGATCTCAGGTTGACCTGAACAACTGCATACATGTGGGAGCCAGCATGATCTTGAGTGCTGGAGGAATGAGGGGCGGATTGTGATGTATTTATGGTAATATAGCAAGACACTGTCCAGAGTCTTTGTGTGTGTGTATGTCTCTCTCTTGAAATAAATAAATAGATGAACTTAGAAAAGAAAAAAATCTTCAGACATGCCAGTTTTCTCTCAGGAGATAAAACCACCCTCAGTTGAAACCACGGGTATAAAGTGCTTAGAGTAGTGCCTGGCCTATAGTAAGTGCCCATTTATAGTTGCTATTATTATTCCTAGCCATTAGATCCTTATGTGTGTGTGATTTTTGTTTGTTTTTGTGCAGCAGTATGGGAAAGGGCAGTCAGCTCGGTGTAAATAGGGTCTTTTTAGGTTTTATTTTGTTTGGTTCATAAACATCCTGTCTCATGGGTTCAAAGAATGAAATGGCAATAGTATATGAGGCATCTGTAATTATTAATACTCTATAGTAGACCAAATTAAACAGGCAAATGAAATAGAAGTTTGAGTTTTCCCTAGACTATAAATAGACTTATAAAAATCTCATAGAAAAGTGAAATTAAGGTACAAGTTTATTTTTTTGCAAAAACATTTTAAAATCCTTGCATATTTTCTTCATAATGCATATTTCTGTTAACCTTTTGAAGATTCCCTTCTTACATAGATTAGGTCTTGTTTTGCCCAAATTTTACTTACCTTTGTAGCACTCACTAAAATTTTAATAAACTACTTGTTAACTTTAGTTTAATTCAAATCTTTATAGACCAGAACCTTCATGAGGGGATTGGCTCTTATCTCTGCCTTCTCAGCTCCTTACACAGGCTAACAGATTTTGTAAATATTGTGGTTAAACTCTGTGCTGTTGTTTAATCTTTAATTTTATTATGACTACATTTGGAATAGCATAAAATTATGGCATTTTAAAATGGAAGAAACGAGGGGTTAATAAGTTCGTCTTATCTGCTAAGTGCTGTATTAATGGACAGATGTACAGTCTGGGCCTGATTGTAAGTCAATTTCTGAAATGAGAGTTTGCTTAGTGGAAGGCTCTGTTACAGACGATAACAGCTGGGACAGCGGTACACTCCAAGAATCTTTAAAGTACTGTCTCCACAATTAAGGGGCAAGCAGGACTTCTAAACCTAAGTCAGAAGTGTGACAAGGAGAAGGTCTGGGGATGGGAACCCAGGGGCTTTCCAGACAAGTTTCTATGATGTCATCTGTGATAGATGGTGTGTTTTCTTGGTGCCAGGTAATATTGAGAAGGGTCCAGAGTGAGATGTTTTCATCTGGTCTGTTCTGGGTAAAGGACTCAAGACAAAGAATCTTTAGGACACCTGGGTCTCTTTTAATCTTTATGTGCTACTTGTGTCTGTGTCCTATGAAAGTTGAACAGTTATGGCTATCACAGTGTTGTCATTACAGGACCATATTCACAGAGAGCAGATAGTATCGATTAGGAGGGAAAAGGAGCATGAGTTCATTTTATTATATAAAATAAATAACCTAGGACTCTAGAGATATTTCTTTTTTCAACCTGGTAAATATTTTGATTAATACTAAACAAAGAAAACTTGCATGTTTTTTCTCCTCTCAGGGGCTGGTATTAGCTGGTTTTCAGTTTGCACTTTTTTTAAGCTTTTTATGCACCAACCAAGCCCTGGGTGAACCAGAATGCCAACAGTGACACCTTCAGGTCTTAGCTTGGACATTGTTTCCCTATAGATGCCTTCCGGACACCCGTTCTCCTCCCAAGATACTTAAACATACTCACTTCTATAGCATCCTATATCTTTTCCGTTTTCACCACATCTTGTATTATTCAATCATTTTTCTTTCATTGCTACATGGTTATAAGCTGAGATCTAAGAGCCTAGTTTACTCGCCATTGTACATGGTCACTGCCGGGCATATCTGGGTTGACATTCAGATATTTGGGAAATTGATATTAATGTGCATTAAAAGCAAAGTTTTGTAAACTAAACAGACACTCACTTAACTGAAACCTTGACACTGTGACATATTCCCTATAAAATAGTTTATTTTAAAATTTGGATGTAAATCTCCCTCTTTGTAAGCGTAGAGTGCTACCTGTGAAAGTAATTTTAAATATTTATTCTACATGTGAAACACCCGTTATATTTGGGGACCAGCAGATACCATAATGGTTACGTACTGGACTTCCACGGAGTCTACCAACAGCTGTTTGAGTCCTGAGCCCGGAGACTTAAAAATACACTGGGCACATGTGTGTCCGTGCCAAAGATCTCAAGAGGACAATGGAGGAGAAGAGATTGTGACATGGCCTTTCCCCCCCTAAGGGTGATTTCTCACTTTCTGTCTCTTTGTCTCTCTCTGTCTCTCTGGCAAGCACATGTGCCCTATAGCAAAAGTCTCTCTCAAAAATTTTTTTTCAAGTTAATACACCATTATATTTTGAAAGAAATGCTTATTGTTCTGATTTTTAAAATGTTGACTGTAATTTAAATGTACAGCTCTAAACTTACCATTTTTGTGAAATGTTTATAACAAACCACATAGTGGCAGTATTGCATCAAGTTTGATTTTATTTTAATAATTTTTTTTTTCTTTTTCAGCTATTATTCATGGACTCTCCAGTCTAACGGCTTATCAATTGAGAACTATATATATATGTCAGTTTTTGACAAGAATTGCAGCAGGAAAAAGCCTTGGTAAATTTGTGTTTTTATCTTATAGTAGAAATATTTCAGTCTGTGGATAAATGTAGCACTGTGACAAGAAACAGAAACAGATGGGAGGTTTTATTTTTTCATTCCCCTAAGAGTTTGCTCACATGTATCTGGTATATACATACACACACACACACACACACCTGACATGTATGTATGTGTGTGTATATATAAACAAGTAAAGGAAATACAATCCTAGGCCATTTCTACAGCCTGGTGGTTAATACAGTCAGATCTCAGATGGCCAACTGTATGGTTCAAGTCCCTGACCCAGTGGCTTGAGAAACATAACTGGTGCACGTGCATGTGTGCCCAGAATCTCAAAATTTAGGACAGGTGGAGGAGTAAGGATTGCAGTGTGACCATTCCCCCATGGTGGATGCCTTCTCCTCTCCTCTGTCTCTCTGGTTAGTGCACAGGCCCTCTAACACACACACATACAAAATATATAATTCCTATCTTCTTAGGATAGTAAGTCTCAGACTTTAACCTTCTTTAGAATTACTTAGAAAGCTCGGGAACCAGCAGTTAGCATAATGGCTATATTGCTGGACTCCCACGATCCCAAAATGAGTTTCAGATTCAGTAGGATGGATGTGGGGCCCCGGGATTTACATTTCTATTAAGTTCCCTGATGATTCTGATGCTGCTGTTGAGAACTACACTTCCTGGACTCTGGGAGATTTCACTTCACTTTAAATTATACTTTATGATAACTTTGTGTTGCCTCCTGTCCTATACAGCGCACATGCCCTATAGTAAAAACCTCTCCCCCCCAAAAAAAAGAATTACTTAAAAAGCTCGTTGAAAAACAGACCAGTGAGTCTTGTGGCCCCTTCCATCCCAAAATGAGTTTCAGATTCAGTAGGATAGATGTGGTGCCCCCCCGGGATTTACATTTCTATTAAGTTCCCTGATGATTCTGATGCTGCTGTTGAGAACTACACTTCCTGGACTCTGGGAGATTTCACTTCACTTTATACTTTATGGTAACTTTGTGTTGCCTCCTGTCCTATACCCTCTGTTTTATATTGACTACGATGATATTTGAAACCTTCTATTTGGATTTTATGTTGTACTTATATGAGGAAATACAACATATATTAATAGTTAAAAATCTCCCTCGTCCCCATAGTTTATTTTAGATTGTAATAGGCAACCCCACTTCAGTTTATAAATACTGATATTTACAACATGGTCAGTTACAGTGCTGTCTGAAAAAATAGTTAAGTTTCTATATTGGTTTTTACAATTTATGAAATGCTTTCCTAACAATCCTAAGTGGTGGAAGGTACTTCTATGAAGCTACTTACTTATAAACATGTTGCATTACATAAGATCCCAGGGTATTAGTACCACTTTCAGAACCCTTACTGGTGTTGCTCTGGCTTATGTAGCCTGCTTTGATTTGGGGGTGAGGTCCGTGTGAGTTGGTAGTAAGTTATAGATCTAGAAACGTAGTAGGTGTGAAAGGGAAGTACAGGTTGGATTGGGCCTTTAGCTGAAGAAGAAAACAGAGTAATGTGGACATAGTTGGAAAACTCCAGACCAAACCAACTCTAAGTTAACATTGTTAACACAGTTATTTTGTCAATTAAATGTGACAAAATATTGTCAAGTGTCTAGTAGTATTTCATAGATAGCAGTTGTTCAGTATATCTTAGTTTCTTTCAAGACTATTTTCTCTCCCAAAAAAGGGCGTTTTGAAAGAAAGCATGCTGATGAAAAGTGAGGAAGAAAGGCCATCTACTTTTGCATTTCACTATTCTATTACACATACCTTAGCCGTACCAGCCATCTTGTTATTTGTAAAAGTAAACTGTTTTCAAGGCATACTAACTGGTTCTTAAGGGTCTTCGTATCTGCTTCCACCCCTTGTAGCTGGACTTTCTAGATCTAAGGTCCTGCTTTATGAAAGAAGAGTAGTACAGTGCCTGACACTTAGAAAGTCCTACGTATTAGTATGAATACCCTTTGCACACTTCTCCCTTTTTCTCAAATATTCTCCTTTCCTTGTCCTCTTCACATAATTATGCTCTGTTTTTCCTTAATATTCCTATTCAGATGACTTCTCTTTCCTGAAGGAGTCTCTTCTGTTGGGTTGCTGGAAGTCATTACGTATTTTTTCTTTTTGAGAGGTTTTCGCTAGAGGGTGCGTGCGCTCACCAGAAAGACAGAGACAGAGCGATAGAAAGCGAGAAATCACCCCCCAGGGGGGATGGCCACGCTGCAATCCCTTCTCCTCCATTCTCCTCTTGGGACCTTGGGCACACCCGCACACGCACCCAGCGTGAGTTTAAGCCGCCGGATCCAGGACTTGAACCGTGGTCGACTATGTGGGAGTCCAGTGACATATCCATTACGCTAACTGCTGGTCCCACATACTTTTTCTGTGCAGAAATGCATCATGACTTCCAACTACCCAATGGGATCCTCTCTACTGAGAGTTAATATCTCATTTCTCAAACACACTAGACTCTGACAGAGGGGTGGGCCTAGGTTCCAATATTTTTTAAAAGTTCTTCAGGTGATTCTGAAATATATTGGGTTGTCAGAAAAGTCATGACACATTTTTGCAACAAATAGTGGTAGTTCATTTTTGGAAGTACTGGAGTCATTAGCATCTATGTTATTGTTATGTCATATAGCAGCTGACAGTTCTACTTTCATTTTGAAAAGAAATTAAGAGATTTGGTTGAGTTTTGGCTCCTCTTGCTGCAGCGGCCAGAGACAGAAAGAGCAATAGTATTGATTTTCACTAGTGAGAAAACTGAGGCTCTATCTTGAGGTTTGTTTTAATTCAGTTAGACTAACAAACTGAGAGTTTTGTTACTCTGATACCTTATAGCTTTTTTTAGCCCTTAAAATCAGTATTTTAATGAAAGAAAGATTCAAATATCATAAGCTTTTCTACTTTTAAAATTGACCTCAGGGCCAGCAGCTGTTACCAGGTTAAGGCACTGGATCCCACGTGGCAACTCTGCAGTTCAATTCCAGACCCAGCAGTTTGAAAATTAGTCCAGGTTTGTGTCCATGTGTGCCCAAAATCCTTAGAGGAAAATGGAAGAGAAGAGATTGCAGCCTGACCATCGCCCCCAGGGGGTGATTTTTCATTTTTCCTCTTTTTCGCTTTCTGTCTCTGTCTATCCATTGAGCACGCAAATAAATAAACAAATAAACAAACAGGCCTCAGTGACCAAATTATCTTAGAAAATCAAATCACTTCCGCAAACTGGCATATATGAGAATAGTGCCTACCATATAGGATATACTTCACTCTATAAACCTTTAAAGAAATGCATTTTTAAGAAACTGAAAAGAGTCTCCTTAGCTTTCTAAGTTACTTATTTTTGTTCTGTTTTTAAAAGATGCACAGTTTGAAAGTGATGAACGAATTACACCCTTAGAATCTGCCCTCATGATTTGGGCTTCAATTGACAAGAAACATGACAAACTTCATGAAGATATACAGAATTTAATTAAAATTCAGGTATGAGTATTACTTTGTACTTATGATTACTATTTTCCTAGAAAATAAAAGCAGTTAATATCTAAAAGAAATTCAGAGAAGTTGAGTGGTAAACCCAGACTTAAATTTATTATCATCTTTCTTTTTAGAAATTTGACCTTTGGCTTATAGTTTTGAAATGAGCACTAGGGGCTGAACGTTTGTTTCATAATTAAATGTATGTTGCCTTCATGTTACAAAAATATATTGCATTTATTTAAAGATCACCAGATCACCAAACAACTGACAAAAAACTAGTGTATAACTTTTTAATAGATTTATAGATTTTTGTAATGAAATGCATGTGAAATTTTAGCTATGTAGAGAGAATTTTAGTAGACTGTTCATGAAAAGCCAAAAATGTCATTCAAAGATACAACAGCAAGAAAAATATGATTTGCTAATAGTTAAAGCAAATACTAGGAACTTTCTTAAAAAACTTTTTCTAATTTTTTTTAAGGGCGTGATAAGAGAAAATCTGGTGGGTTGCTTTCCTAAGGATTAGTGTAGTGACTATAGAGTACAATTAGGACTTGAAGAGAAAGGAATGGGCAAAAAAAAATGACTACTTACATTTTAAGAATTTAACCCCCAAAAGAGATTTGTCCTATTTTTCTAATCATTGGGAAATCTAGAGGAAGCAGGCCTTTCTTAGTACCCTATTATAAATTTGAGTGGGTGACAATAAAGTATCTAGCAGACATTTAATATATTGGTTATATTGGTTACTATTTGTCAGGCACTATTCTAAGCACTTGAACATATAACTCTGATTCTCTAGCAGTTCTATGAAATAGGTAGTGTTATTTCCATTGCTTTACTTGTGAGTAAAATAAGGCATCGAGAGTATATCGAGTCTTGCTGCCAAGTTTAATAGCCTCCTGGATGGTAATGGTGTTTCCACATCTTACCACATGTGATGTCAGAAAGGCCAACATCTAGAACGGTCATTGAAAGCTTCTGGGTTCCTAGGTTTCCATTAGAGATTTTGTAGGGATCGTAACTAGCAAACCTTATCTATCTTAATCATCATAAATACCATCTGCCTCCTCTCTCATTTCCCTTTTGCTCAAAATTAATATTTAGGTAGTTCTTAAATGTACATATTATAGTTTCTCATTTATCTATTAATATGTGCTTTTAATTTGGCCTAACTAGAAATAGAATGCTGAACATTTATTGGCAAAAATAAAATATTTTAAACCTACCTAAGTTATTTCAGTAATTAAATACATAGACATTTTAAAAGGCAATCTAAGGTAAATATTTGTCTTTTAGGCAGTCCTGCCGTTGCTGGCACATGTGCTTAGAATATTAACCCTGTCCGTTTTCAGGAAGGGGAGTCCAGTATGATACTTAGTGTTAATAGATCAAATTACTGACATCCACTGAGCCACGTTGTCTGTCCTAGGAACAGGTCCTGTGGTCCCTACTCACCAGATGCTGTGTGGATCTACCTTCAGATAGAAGTTTTCCCAAACAAAACAACCAAAACTGTATATTCATCTGCTAGCTGGTTTTCTCTTGTTTATTTTCAGTGTAGTATTAATGTGTCATGATGATTCTGAATTTGGAAATAAAGAGAGATTGGGCTAATGTTTATGTGATTTTTGTAGAAGAGAATAAAGCAATTCTGATCCCTCTTAAAATATTTATATATATATTTGTTTTTTAGGCTATAGCTGTTTGTATGGAAAATGGCAATTTTAAGGAAGCAGAAGAAGTCTTTGAAAGGATATTTGATGAACCAAATTCTGACACGGTAATTGTTTCAATGATCATAGAATTTCAGAACTATTGATACTGAATGATGAAAACAAAATTTAAGGAGAAAAGGAATACTTTATTTTTGAAATAGTATAGAACAGTACCGTCCAATAGAAATATAATAAAAGTCACACATATGATTTAAAGTTTTCTGGTAACTGGGCCAGCAGGTGAAGTAGTGGTTTAGGTGCTGGACTCTCACATGGCTGACTGTGGTTTGAGTCTTAGACCCAGCAGCTTAACAATCACACTTGGGGGACTGGCAGGTGATGTGGTGGTTAAAGACGCTGGATTCACATATGGCCAACCGCAATTTGAGTCCCAAACCTGGGGGCTTGCGTGCACTCGTGTGCTCTCTCTCACTCTCCTCCCCTCACCCCCATCAAATTAAAAGTAAATAAATAAATAGAGTTAAATAAAATCATTCTTCTTTTAAAAAGAAAATCACACTTGATATGTGTTCCCAGAATCCCAGGAGGAGAGGAGATTGAGGCATGGCCATCACCCTAAAAGGTAATTTTTCACTTTCCCTCTCTGTCTCCAGCTAACATACCAAAAACTAAATAAAAAAAAAAGTTTTCTCCTAGCCATATTAAAATAAAAAGAAACATGTAAAACTAATTTTAATTTGACCAAATATGCAAAAAAAATTTTTTAAATTTAATCAATATTCAACAATTACTTCTTATATATTTCACATTCCCTTTTATATACTGGGTCTTTGAAATCTGACAAATATATTGATACATTTAAATTCAGACTAGCAACATTTGAAGGGCTTAGTAGCCCTATGTGGCTAAACAGTATAACTCACTTATTTCTCTAGCATGTTTCTCTTGTGATCGTTAGCAGTTTTTTATGTGTGAAGTGTTAAAATCAATAGACCCTAATTTTTAAATATTAGAAATAAAGCATTGGGCAAGAGGTGGCATGGTGGTTAAGATGCTGGGGACCAGCAGTTAGCATAATGACTATGTCACTGAACTCCCACGTAGTCGACCGCGGTTCAAGTTCCGGTCCCGGCGGCTTAAACTCACGCGTGGCACATGTGTGTGCGTGCCCAAGATACCAAGAGGAGAATGGAGGAGAAGAGATTACAGTGTGGCCATATCCCCTGGGGGATGATTTCTCACTTTCTGTTTCTCTTTCTCTGTCTTGTTGGCGAGCGCACATGCCCTATAGCAAAAACCTCTCAAAAAAAAAAAAAGAAAAAAGAAAAGATGCTGGACTCCCACATGGCCAATTGTGGTTTGAGTCTTGGACCCCATGGTTTGAAAATTACTTCAGGCACATATGCATGCACAAAATCCAAGGAGAATAGAGGAGAAGGGATTGCCATCTCCCTGGGGGATGGTTTCTAACTTTCCTTCTCAGTGTCTCTGGTGAGTGCATATGCCCTATGACAAAAACCTTTTTTTAAAAAAATGTGTTATTAAAGTGAATTAAAATTACTCAAAGAAATGATGGAGCTGAAATCTTTTTTTTTTTTTTTTTTGCCTTTTTTAGTAAACTTTTTATTGAATAATAGCATACTTCCAGAGGTCCCCTTCAGTCACTTGAGTAAGGGGTTTCCTTCTCATGGGTAGCTACTGTCCTGACTTGTACCACTCAGGTTTAGTCTCACTTGTTTTTAACTTCCTATAATATTGGGTCATTAGGAAAGTCATAACACATTTTTACCTAGAAAAACATAGAAAAATACATCATGACTTTCCCAGCGACCTCATAGAATCATATAACAAGTTTATATTTGCAAGATTGGTCCATGTTGTTGCTTGTAACAGTGGTTCGTTCATTCTTACTGTTTCATTGTATTGAATATACTACAGTTTCTTCATTCTGTTGGTGAACATTGGTATTATTTTGCAATTTTTGACTGTTACATTCTTTTCTAAATCTTCTGTAGAACAAATATGTTTATTTCTATTGGATATATACTTAGTAGAATTGACAAATCATGGAGTATGCACATACTAATTTTAGTAGACACTGCCAAACATTTCTCCAAAGTAGTTATGTCAGTTCCTTGAGTAGTATGAGGAATTCCAGTTACTCCACAGACTTTATCTGTGGTTTTCTTTTTAGTCATCCTGACAAATAAGCAGTACTAATATAGGTTTTTAATTTCTATTTCCCCGATGATTAATAAGTTGAACATCTTTTGATATGCTGGTAGATAGAATTGGAGGCAGGGAGTGATCACCTTAACCCATGAAGACACTGGGCCTAGTTGCGCATGGGTTGCAGTTTTCATAAGGCTTTATCTGCCTCTGAACCTGTTCTTATGGTATAACTCTCCAGAGATTTCAGCTGATAACCCAGTGTGTTTATCATGTTGCCTGACCTTGTATTTTTTTCTATAGCTCTATGAGACTACTGGAACACCACTCTACCCCTTACAAAAGAGGAAAACTTATGGTCAACAAACATTAAGCAGTTAAGAGAAAGTACTTAACTTCACTAGTATTAGTCACCAGGGCCATACCAAGTAATATATTGAAATTCCATCTCCCATCCCTCTGACAGGTGATAGGGATGCTTTTTTTTTTTTTTTTGGAGAGATTTTCACTATAGGGCACGTGCGCTTGCCAGACAGACAGAGAGAGACATAGAGACAGAAAGCGAGAAATCACCCCCCAGGGGGGATGGTCACACTGCAATCCCTTCTCCTCCATTCTCCTCTCGGGATCTTGGGCATGCACACACACGCGCCCGGTGTGAGTTTTAAGCCACCGGGTCCGGGATGCGAACTGTGGTCGACTACGTTCGAGTCCAGCGACATAGCCATTACGCCAACTGCTGGTTCCCATGGGGATGCAATTTTTGACCAAAAAAGTGGAGAAATGATCAGACTGCCTGTTCTTTCTTTCAGAAGTGTAACTTAGTACTTAAACTTCAGAGAGCATCTTAGCAGAATCTGTAAACATGTTTTCTAGCAGTATCACTTCTACATCCTAGAACAACTATTTTTACTTACACTGCACATTAAAAAAAAAAAAAATGAACCCTTAAAAAAAGAATGGTGGCATGGTGGTTAAGATACTCGATCCTACACAGCCGACTCCACAGTTCAAGTCTTGGACCCAGCCACTTGGAATGTATGCAAGGTGTGTGTGCATATGTGCCCAAAATCCTGACAGGAAAATGGAGGAGAGGGAATTGTGGCATGGCCCTCCTCCTTAAAGGGGGTAATGCATGTATGGTCTAGCAAATTGAAACAAAACGCAGGCCTCATTGAGAAAATTAATCTAGGATTAGGCCTCATAATTCAAAAGTTGTATAGCTGTTATACAGCCATTATTAAAGAACAAGAGAAACTTATACTATAAATTGTGACAGTAGCTAGACCTGTAAACATGGATAAATGTTATAAACAGAGTTGAGTTAGAAGTTTTAGAAGAATAGACTTAATACGACATATTTATATATAGCTAAAATCATGCTGGCCCAGCAGCTATGGTGCAGCAGTAACGCAAGTGCCCTGCAAGACTGGAAGCTGTGTTGCCAGCTATGAATTTGGATTTCCAGGTTGGCTTGAAAACATGCTGGGCACAAGCATGAGCACCCAGGATACTGAGGAACTGTAGGGCTAGGCGAAGGGGATTATGGGATAACAAGATCCTCTTGAGATACTTCTCTCCCCAGCCAACCCCCCCAACACACATACACTGTTATTTTAAAAAGAAGAAAAAGAAGAAGAAATGGGACCAGCCTGAGGCCTGGTGGTTAAGGATGCTTGATCACACCTAGCCAACTGCATACTTCAAGTTCTAGACCTGGTGGCTTCAAAAACACTAGGCACATGTGTATGTGTGCCCCAAATCCCCAAATGAGAGTGATGTGAAAGTGAAGAGATTATGGGGTGACCATTCCCCATAGGGCATACTTTTCCCCTCTTCCTCTCCCTCTCCCCCTCTAATAAGCACATACGTCCTCTGGCAAAAATATTAAAAAGAAAAAAAAATCTAAGCAAAACTATGTTGTTATTTATGGATGGATATATATGTAAAGTGCATATAAAAGAATACATTGGATTGATATTTCATTCCAAATTCAGGTTAGTAATAGGTTGGTGCAAAAGTAATTGTGGTTTTACATTGTTAAAATTTGCTGTTTGTTATTGTATACATTTGTAAATAAATTGTGTTATACATCGATTTAATGCACATTTCTTGCTTTTTTTGCTAATGACTTATTACTTGCTGCTTATATGTATTTTAGACTATAGAAATGATAGACAAAAAGCAAATTGGAACAGTCTTTTTACTCAAGTTTAAAATAGGTCATAAAGCAGTGGAGATAACTTGTAACATCAGCTGCTCCTGAACATACAGTGCCATAGTAGTTCAAGAAGTTTTACAAAGGAGATGAGAGCCTCGAAGATGAGGAACATAGTGGCTGGCCATTGGAAGTGGACAATGACCAACTGAGAGCAGTCATGGAAACTGATCCTTTTATAGCTACGTAGGAAGTTGCTGAAGAAGCCAATGTCAGCCCAGTCGTTCATCATTTGAAGCAAATTGGAAAGGTGAAAAAGCTCAATAAGTGGGTGCCTTATGAGCTGACTAAAATTGAAAAAAAAGTCATTTAGAAGTATTGTCCTCTGGGTCCAGCAGATGGTGTAATGGTTACATTGCTGGACTCCCACGTAGATGACCACAGTTTGAATCCTGGGCCTGGCTACTTAAAACTCAAGCTAGGTGCATGTGCGTGCATGCCCAAGATCCTGAGAGGAATGGAGGAGAAGGGATTGTGGCATGGCCACATTCCCCTTGGGATGATTTCTTGCTCTCTGTCTCTCTCTGTCTCTGTCTCTCCGGTGAGCACATGCATCCTATAGCAAAAATCTCTATTGAAAAAATAAAAAAGAGAAGTGTTGTCTTCTTGGGACCAGCAGATGATGTAATAGTTATGTCACTGGACTCCCACATGGCCAACCATGTGGTTTGGGTCCCAGAACTGGTGATTTTAAAATCATGACAGCGTGTGTGGGTGTGTGTCTAAGATCTTGGGAGAAGAATGGGAGAGAGAGGATTGCAACATGACCATCCCCCCTAGAAGGTGTGATTTCTCACTTTTCCTCCTACTATCTGTTTCTCTCTCCCTCCAGTGAATGCACATGCCCTAAAGCAAAAACCTTTTCTAAAAGAAGACGTCATCTTCTCTTATTCTACGCAACAACAAATGAACCATTTTTTAATTGGATTCTGATGTGCAACCCAAAGTGGATTTTAAACAACCACCAGTGACAACCAGCTCAGTGGTTAGCCTGAGAAAGAGGTTCAAAAGCACGTTAGAGCCAACCTTGTACCAAAAAAAAGGCATGGTCGTTGTTTGGTAGGATCTGATCCACTATAGCTTTCTGAATCCTGGCAAAACCATTACATCTGAGAAGTATGCTTATGAAATCCATGTGGTGACCCAAAAACTGTAATGCCTGCAGCTGACATTGATCAATAGAAAGGGCCCAATTCTTCACAAAAACGCCTGATGGCCCATTGCACTACTAACACTTCAGAGGTTGGACGATTAGTCTACGAAGTTTTGCCTTTTCCGTCATACTCACTTGACCTTTCAGCAGCTGACTTCCAGTTCTTCAAGCATCTCAACAACTTTTTTCAGGGAAAGTGTTTCCACAACCAGTAGGATACAGAAGATGCTTTCTAAGAGTTTGTGGAACCCAGGGGGGCTAGCAGATGGCATGGTGGTTAAGGGTGCTGGACTCCCACATGGCCAACCATGGTTTGAGTCCCAGACGTGGCGGCTTGCTTTCTCTCTTTGTCTGTCTGTCTGTCTTCACCCCCCCCACACACACACTCACTCAGTCCCTTTCGTCAAATTAAAATAAATAAAGTTAAATAAAATATTTTTTTAAAAAGTTTGTGGAACCCGGAAGCATGGATCTTTATGCTATAGAAATAAACAAATTTATTCTTCGCTGGCAAAAATGTGTTGATTGTAATGTTTCCTATTTTGATTAATAAAGATATGTCTGAGCCTAGTTATAAATCCCTTGTCCAAAACTACAATTGCTTTTGCACCAACCTAGTAGTTATTATGAAGATAGAGAAGGGGATGCAATCAAATTATGGTAGTAAATAGGCTTTAACTGTCCTTATGCTTTATTTCTTACACTGGGTGATGAGCACTCAGGTTCATAATGTTCTTTTTATTCTTTTGTGTATGTCTGAAAAAATTGGGAGACCAGAGTCACAAAAAATTAATTTAAAACTTACTTAGGTCCTTTTGAATTTATATTTATAAATAGATTTCTTTGATTACATAACATAGTAGCATGTCTCCTAATTTTATTTGTGTGACTTATGTTAATATATTTCCTCTGTTTTCTTTAGCCATTAAAAAGGAAATTACTGATGATAATCTCTAAGAAAGATACGTTTCATTCCATTTTTCAACACTTCAGCTACAGCCACATGATGGAGAAAATTAAGAGTTATGTGAATTCTGTACTAAATGAAAAATCATCAACCTTTCTAATGAAGGTAAGCATATTATTCAGAGAAACACTAACACTAAACTTAGGAGTTGTTACATACAGTAAAGGAGAATACTTGAAATAGAAACCTCTAAAAGCTAATCAGAATTTCGTATGATTTTGTAGAATAGTATGACAAAACATTATAATTAGGAAACCTACTAAAAGGGTTTGTGGGTGATTTTTGTAGTATTTTTGCAACTTTTCAAAATAAAAGTTGGAGGGACCAGCAATTGGCATAATGGCTATGTCGCTGGACTCCCACGTCGTCGACCGCGGTTCGCGTCCCAGACCCGGTGGCTTAAACTCACGCCGGGCGCGTGTGCTTGCGTGCCCAAGATTCCAAGAGGAGAATGGAGGAGAAGGGATTCAGCGTGACCATCCCCCCAGGGGGTGATTTCTCGCTTTCTATCTCTCTGTCTCTCTCTGTCTGTCTGGCGAGTGCACGCAACCTATAGCAAAACCCTCTCAAAAAATAAATAAAATAAAAGTTGGAAACTCATTAAAGTAAAAAGTAGAAGGAAAAACTTACCAGGATAAATTAAGAAGGAGTAAGTGAAAACAAATATTTCATTTAAATTTAAATTTTTATTTTGCAATTTTTCATCTGCATTTAATTATTGTATATCTTTGTGGCATACGATACTGTTTTTCAAAGCATGCCTGTAGCGTGTGATAATCAGATCAAAGATACTGCCATATACATCGTTTTCAGTAAAGAAATGCTTTTTTTCTGAGCCCCTCTCACCCACCATCCACTGGACACCCCTTTCCATACAGTGTAAGTAAACTTAGAAGGAATTTTTAAGCATAAATTCGGGGAGAATTAAAATTGGATTAAGAAGGGTTTTTAAAATTTTATTGATACCTTCTTTTCTATTTTGACCTCAGAAAGTTTAAGTTAATATGTTATTAAAGTAGACCATCTTGATTGATTTGAGGGGGTTTTATGTTTTAAATATCTGGAAGTTTTATATACTTCTTTTTAAGTAGCCTTTTATCTTAAAATTGCCTGAAGAGCATTGTGTGATACATTTTTAAGGAAGGATCCTCTCCATAAAGCTTATAAACCAATCAAGCAGCTAAAGTAGCTGCTGACAAAGTCATAATTATTGGTAAAAATAACAATACAGTACCCTTTATTGGCCTGTAAACAGACATTTTGGCTACGACTATTATAAAATCAGAAAACATGACTGAATGTATTTAAAATGGCTTAATGCATTCCTTCTCCCTCTCCTCCACACATCCTTTTTTAAGGCAGCAACAAAAGTTGTGGAAAGTAAAAGAACAAGAACAGCAACTACTCAAGATAATAGTAATGATACTGAAATGGAAACCGAAGCTAATGTGGATATAGGGAAAAGGTTTGTAAGTGCATTAATATATATTTTTTTTGTCCTGTAAAAGTTGTATCTCATGTAAAAGTGAGTGAGTGTTACTAAATAATTCTTGAGTAGTAGATATATTATTATGCTGATGGTTAACTCTTGAATGTTCAAAGTACTGTAGAGTTATTTTTGACTTCTGCAAATTATATATACTGAGCAACAATAAGAGAGTGCGGTAATACTGCAGTTTAAGTAATGTTACCATTCTAAGTGAGGGGGTGCCAAAGAATGAGGTAAAGTTAGAAACCAGAGTCATCTGTGTCCCTTAGTTCTCAGCTCCTCTAAATCCTCATTATGTGAGCACATATTTCACTTTACTAAGAGTAATATTTTAGTGTTTTAAGATAGTGTTCATATGCCTTCTCTAAAGGTAAGCTGACTCCTTCATCTGGTGATGACAATTAAAGAAAAAATTATGTGGTCCAGTGCTGGAGGGAAACAGGTAGTTGTGTCAGTCCTACATAGCAAAAAAGACAGTAAACAGCTTAGTCTCCAGAATTATTTTTCTTGAAAATGTTTTTTGAGAGGTGTTTTTTTTTTTTTTTTTTTTTTTTTTTTTTATAGCAAAAAAGCGCTATCCGAGGACAAAATGTACGCGCTCGCCGAGAGACATACAGAAAGTGAGAAATCACCCCCACCCCCAGGGGGGATGGCCACACCGCAATCCCTTCTCCATTCTCCTCTTGGGATCTTGGGCATGCATGCACACGTGCCCAGTGTGAGTTTAAGCCACTGGGTCTGGGACTTAAACTGAGATCGACTACATGGGAGTCCAGCGACATGGCCATTACGTCAACTGCTGGTCCCATTCTTGAATTATTTTTATGGGCGATTGTTTTTTCCTTTTTGCTTTAGAAGCTAATCCTGTTGAGGAAGGTGTAACTCTACCATTATAAAGATCTGTTCTATTTAACCCATGGTCTGGTCCCTGTCCTTCCTCCCGCACCCCAAGATCAGATAGTTAAATCACTGTGGTCTCTGGATGGGTGTATTTGACAATAGATTTCTTCTTGGGACCATGACTTCAGTGCTGTAAGGACTTCATCTTAACTCGTTAGTAAGAGGTGGGGACTGGAGTCCAGGTCACACATACTCTGCACTGATCCTGTCTCAAGGCCGAGGCTCAGTGTTCTTATAGTGGTCCCTCCTATTGTTGCTGCCTATGGAAGAAGCATGATCTGCTTTTCACTGGTTCATCTCCCCAGAGGGCTTACTCTCTTTCTCACTGACTTGCTTTTTTTAAAACCCTTTTTGAGAAGTAAAGATTTCATTTTTATTTGCCAAGTTACTTCATTTGGTTTAGGAATCAAAGTTTAATGGGGCTAAGGACAGATATATCTTGTTGCCAAGCCTTCCTGACCAGTATAATACTGCTCTGAAGTAACAATTTAAACTATGATGCTTACAAATAATGAGCACATTTCCTATGTACTCTCTTTGTATATTAGCAACATTTATTTCAGATGCTTTTCTAGCCACAAACATAGTACAGGCAGCATGTTAAAATTCTTCATGCTCTTATCTGCCTCTTTGCACACTGATTTTTCTCTGTGACCTTGTCCACCCAGTTGTCTAAGTATTTTAAAATCCCATCTCTCCAGTCTAATTTTTCTTATTATTTATATCCCAGACTAGTACATATATCTCAGATTATTAAATAGCTCCGTACCATACAAATTTCACCCTTGACATAAAACTTCTAGAGTTAGCATTCCACAAAAGTAAATCTGTTTAGGGACCAGCAGTTAGCGTAATAGCTATGTCGCTGGACTCCCACGTATTCGACTGCGGTTCGAGTCCTGGACCTGGTGGCTTAAACTCACGCCAGGTGCGTGTGCGTGCGTGCCCAAGATCCCGAGAGGAGAATGGAGAAGAAGGGATTGCGGCATGGCCATCCCCTCTGGGGGGTGAGTTCTTGCTTTCTATCTCTCTGTCTCTCTCTGTCTGTCTGGCGAGCGCACGTGCCCTGTAGCAAAAACCTCTCCAAAAACAGAAAAAAAAAGTAAATCTGTTTAGATCACTTTCCAGCTTAAAAACTTCTTTTGGCTCTTGGCTTCTGTTTCCTACTAGATTAGTCAGAATTTATTGGCATATCTTACAAAACTTACAGAACCCTTTTCTGTTTTTTCCATATACAATCTCATCTCTGAGCATTAACTACTTTCTAGCAACATAATTTCTCCCAGATCTTATAACTGTACAAGTTTTTATGTCCTTGCTGAGTTCCTTCTATTTTGACTTATTTTTATTTTCTCCCAACCACATTTTTTTTTAACTTTCTGCTTTAGAAGCCATTCAAGGTCTAGCTGAAGGATCACCATCCTTTCCTAGCTCTCAGATCAGGGTTACACCTCTCTACAAGGACTTATTTTAGGTAGTCAATTACTTGTTTGCCTGCCTCTGTCTTTTACTAGATTGAGAATTCTTTGAAGGTTCCTAATTAGCTCTGAAGCATTCTAATTTGCTTTGTTATCCTTGGTACTTAGTTCATTGCCAGGCATATATTGGGATTTGTTATACTAGAGATAAAGAACAAGAATCAAGCAAATGTCAAAATCATCCCAGATGGAGAACCAGGAAAAATGAAAACCAAATCATCAGAAACAGGACAGCAATCAGTAGGACATAAGTGAAGCGAGCATAGAATCAGAAGTGTGGTTGTGAGTTCAGACAAATGCTAGAGAAATTGAAACCCTCATGTTATTATGCTTATTCTGATAGAGCTTGTATTCTGTTTGAGGCAATAAGAATTATAGACATGAAACAAAACAGTAGTAGATACTACATTATCATTGTCAGAGTGTAAAAACAAAGACTTTAATGTCGAAGTAGTTGAGGTGGACAGCTTAATGAGGATGTTAGTCTTGACCAGGGTTTTGAACCATGATTAAGATTTTTTAACTACAGTGGGAGAAGAGAAAATATTTCAGGAAAGAAGAGTAGTACTAGTGAAAGCATTGAGGTATATGGGCATGCTGTGTTTGTGGATCCTATTTTAATTATAACGAAAGAGAATTTATTAAAAACTTAAAATGGAGACTAATGAGGACAAGAAATTAAATTTGTACTTAACAAATTGTGTACATTAAACATGTTTTGGAATATTACACTTCAAGAAAGTTTAAAAATTTTTGAATTTGTAGAAATAACCATGGAAGAGTTTTTGAAAGAGTGATTAATACAAATGCTTCATTATAGTATTATCTATACTTACCTTGTGTTTGGGAGGCTTGATTTAATACTTCTTATAAGGCAAAAATTAGTCATTTATAATGGACTATATGTGTCCCGTTGTTATCAGGGTTTCTTAAAATACAACTGGATTGTGCAGAAAGTACTATATGAAAAGTTTCTTTTTGTTTGCATCCTCACAAATTTTTTATCTTTTTTTAAAGTGTTGGTCAAAAACAGCCTGTGGTAACTGAATCTTCAGGGGCTACAGAATACTTATCGAGGTAAACTGAAGGTTTCTTGTCTATAATCTTTAATTAAAATAAATAATGCAGATCTAAATATGTTATAATCACTTCCAGAAAATGGAATTATTTAAAGAAAATCTCAGGGTCCTACTTAGACCTCAACAGGTACTCAGTACCCTTACATGTCTTGAAATTCAAACTGTAAAGACCTGCCCCTGGGATCCTGGATTATTTGACATTATTTCTCCAAGGCCATTATTGGAATATATGTATAGGGAGTACTTGCGCTTAAAGCAGATGTTGAGGAGACTCTTACTCTGTCACAGGATCTAAGCTGTAATACTGGGGCATCAAGGAGGGGAAGTTATATTTTTGATCAATGTCCCAAATTCAGTTTTATGAAACTGCTTGAGAAACTGTGTTTGGTCTACCAGAAGTGCTATACAGACTATAAAATATTTCCAGAGAGCAGAAAGTCTTTGTGAGTGATTTCAGAGTTAGAGTCGTTGAGATGACAAGCAGAACTGTGGGAGGAGGTGACTGATTTGGTGTGGAGAAGGACATGGGATATGAAGAATTGAGAGGCTAGGGTGTTTGCTGTATGAGTTGCCCATGAGAACACTGAAATAATCCATAATAGTAGTCCTTGGGTGTAGAGAAAGATCTATAAATAATGGGAACTTCTTAGAAAGGATAGTGAATAGCTATGAAAAAATGATAGAAGGTGCCAACATCACAGTGGCATGAATCTTCAAGGGCTAAGGTAGAAGCAGGATGCTGAAAGTGACGTGGCTCACCTCTAAGACCCAGTGGTTTATGGTGGGTAGAAAATTAAGATAATCTCTAGTTGAAAAGCCACAAAAGAGAAAAACATTGAAAAACAAACGTTGTTCCCAGTGGAGAGCTAGATTTGACAAGGCAGAAAAATGGCGTAACTGATTAAGAGGTTGAGAATGGCATTCCAAAAAACAAGAAAAATTTGGGGGTGGGGGGAGAGAAAGGATTAGCCAGTTGCATAGATCGTTTGTAGAGATAAAAGTATAGAAGGGAACCGCTTTTGGGGTCTTAGTTCAGTCCTTATAAAGTTGGAATACCAACTTTACAGGCAGAGATGTCAAAAAATTCAGCCATATCCTATATTTACTACCAGCCTTACCTTTCAAAAGGTATACCTTACCTTTTCAAAGCTATTAAGGTAATCAAATGATAACCTGCCATCAGGCAAAGGAATTTTATATTTCTCCTGTTTGAAACTCAGAAACTACAGGAGAACAAGTTAATACTTTGTAGTTTAAGAACTTTTTTTTCTTGTTCTATCTAACTGGATGCCAAAGAGTCTTAATTTCTGAGCAGGTAAGATGGAGAAAATAAGTAATGGAAGTGAGAGAGATCTGTCAAGACAAATCTCAAACTGACCAAAGTAGGGGACCAGCAATTAGCGAAATAGCTATGTCGCTGGACTCCCATGTAGTCGACCGCGGTTCACGTCCCGGACCCAGTGGTTTAAAACTCACGCCAGGCGCGTGTACATGCGTGCCCAAGATCCCAAGGGGAGAATGGAGGAGAAGGGATTGTGGCGTGACCATCCCCCCTGGGTGGTGATTTCTTGCTTTCTGTCTCTATGCCTCTCTCTATCTGTCTGGCGAGTGCACATGCCCTATAGCGAAAACCTCTCAAAAAACAAACGAAAAAAAAAACAGCTGGCCAAAGTAGATGGTTCTAAATCAGAGACTGAGACAAATCATCCACCCCACCCCTACCCCCTGTAGCATTATTAGTCTCTCTAAAACTAGTCACAAGCTTTCATGTTTTATTTAGGTCTCACAAGAATCTCTTGTGTAAGTTGAAATTTGGAGACCAGCAACAAGAAGTTACTAAGACTGAGAGAAGACTGGGAACTCTTCAGAGTGAGTAGTAGTATTACAGTGTTGGATATGGAAAGTTGATGTGTCCTTGGAAGCGATCCAGCCGTTGACCTCAGCACTGCAACACAGAGCACACACTTCACATACCTGAAGTTACAAAGAGGTTAAATGTCTCGACTTAATATTGAGTTAACTGAGGTGGTGCTTAATTTGAAAAGTTGGCCATTCTGACTGCCTACCTAAGAGGTCTTTTGTTACAGTAGTATGGTACTTTTCTAATTGAACTATTTTCAGTAACTTTAAATAGTTACTTCTTCTAAAACATAAATACAGCTAATTCTCATTATTCACAGTAGATGTGTTCTGTAAAGTCTCTAAGAGCATTATATTAGTGAATACTGCATAATCCCTCATAGGGGAAATACAGGATTAGGTTTTTTGAGACTCTGGTCACAACATTTTTGTCAACTGAACTCATACATACCCTTGTTTTATGTGTGTTTCCGTTTAAAGACACTTGATTTAATATGCATTGTTGACTCATTAACGTTGACCTTGACAGCCAACAGCACTATAACTGATGCCTGAATGAAGTTTATTTAACATACATACTTTCTCCATAAGGCATGTCACAGCCTTCTTATTCTTAGGAACAGTAGACAGCACTTCAGAGCCATATTTGGGGCCATTTTAAATAGTGAAGTCACCAAGGAAAAGTACAAAAATGCAAAAAAAAAAAAAAGTTTTAAAAAATAAACTGTGTAAAAAACATTTATAGTAGGGGAGCTGAAACAAGGCAGAGTATCAGTTTGTTCATTCCCAGTTAAGTGTATGCACGCATCGGTGACTTAGAATTAATCACTGCTAGGCACGTGTCCATCAGTGACCCTGAATTAACTGTGAGTATTGATTGTGGAGCTAGCTAGACAAAGTTTAGCAGTTCAGAAATAACAGAAAATTGAAACTTGGTGAAGTTACTTGTCTAATGCTAGTGGGGTTCCTTAGTCGTTTTTCGGTATCTATTGCTGATAAATAGCTAGGAATCATAATGCTAAGCTAGAATAATGAGAACATTATCATTCTAAGACGTTTAATTTCATAGTACAAAATTCAAAGTAAAGGAGATAAGTCCTTGTACAAAGGAGATTAGGTCTTGTGGGTTTTAGCACATATGTTGACTTTTTCTTAGATCTCAGTAATTCATTTTTTTTAAGATTCAGCTTACATAAATGGTACCTAGGTATCTTATCTCTATAATTACAGGATATTCATTTTGTTTGTGCTGAACCTTTCAAGTTTTTTTTCCAAAAACAAATTTAATTTGTTATATTATATGTGTTTAGGGAAAAAATTAATAAAAGTTAAGGAGAAAGTTATTCATATTTATTTAATGCAGAAAATCTCACTAGTGTTCAGCAAAATTATGATTAGCATTTTTTTAAGTAATTATTTTATTTACCTTTATTTATTTATTTTAATTGGACCAGGGGGGTGGGGTGGATAAGAAAGCAAGCCTTACCAGATCTAGGACTTGAACCATGGTCAGCCATGTGGGAGTCCAGTGCCCCTAACCACCCCACCACCTGCCGGTCCCCAAAAGGTTTTTATTTGAAAACTCATTTAATCTTTAAAATAACCTTATGAGAACTGGGATTTTTTTTTTTTTTCCTTTTCTTTAGAGTTTTTTGCATTAGAGTGCGTGTGCTTACCAGACAGAGACAATGAGAGGGAAAGTGAGAGACATCCCGCCCCCCACCCCAGAGTGCAGTCACTTCTCATCCATTTTCCTCCCAGGAGGAGTGTGATTTCAAGTCACCAGGTCTGGGACTCAGACCCCTCGTCAACTATATAGGAGTCCAGCAATGTAACGTCTACACCATCTCCTGGCCCCAAGCTGTGCTTTTCTGGGGTGATCATCCTCATTTTACAGATGAGGAAGCTGATACAAAATGAGATTAAGTAAAATGCAAATACATGAACAGAACTAGAGCCAGAATTTGAGATTAGACTTCTCATTCCAAAATCTATGTCATTAATTGTTGAGATGGACTGCATCAATAGAACTATGTGTCGAGTCAAAGCAAATAAAATAAAAATTTAGGAAAGTATGATCATATTATATGTTCTTAAAATTTACATTTAATTTTTAAATAGTGAAGCTAAAAGATTTTGGTGAATAATGAATAATATTTGATGAATAAATGTTATTTCTCAAGAAATATATGAGTAACCTATATGATCCTTCTAAATAAAAAGTAAAGAATGTGAAATGTTTTCAGAGGTTGGGTCTAGTTGCCTTATACATATAAATTTAAACTTTAAACTTGATTGATTTTAGCAAAAAATTTCCTACCGACCATTAATATTTCCTATATTTTATAGATAACAATCAAATATTGTTCTCTAGCTATATTTCTCACAGTTGTTTAATCTTCCTTATATAAATTGATTTATCTTTTGTCATTAGCCCGTTGCCTAGGAGTTCTCTATTTTTTTTTTGAATTATTTTATTTAGCTTTTCACTTACTTTAATTGTACCAGATAGGAAGAGAAGAGAGAGAAGGGAAGTGAGAAAGAAGCCGCCAGGTCCAGGACTCGAATCATGCTTGTCCATGTGGGAGTCCAGTGCCCTTAACCTCCACATCACCTGCCGAGTTCTCTATTCTTTAGCTCTTCATTTTGATTTACTTTTTTGTTTGACAACATTTTCAACAGAAACCTATAGGTGATTTTTATATGCCCATGAGTGTGTTTTTACTTTAAAAGAAATTTGACTAAATATAATATTCTTTGGAAATACTTCCTTCTCACATCTTGGCAAACACTGCTGCATTCTCTGATTCTGAGTGCTGCCATGGAGAAGTCTGCCATCATTTTGACTCCTCCATCATTCATATGTGAGTTTGTTTTTCTTCTTAGATGCCCTGATTTTACTAATAAGTTCATTTAATGCTATCAGTTCCTCTTTTGTTATTACTTTATATGTATCCTCAAAATTTTATGTTGAATTTTTTTTAGTTCAAAACATTTTCTCATTTTGAGACTTTTATTGACCTATGGGCTATTTTGAAATTGTTTAATTCCCAGATATTTAAGGATATTATAGATATCTTCTGACTTTGAGTTTAATTCTGTTGTGGTCTGAGAACATACTTTGAGGAATTTTTTCTTTTTTTTTTTAAGATTTGTTTTCTAGTCCTGAGTATGTTCTATTTTTATTGATAAAATGCGCGTCCGCTCACCAGAAAGAGAGACAGGGAGAGGGAAAGCAAGAAATCACCCCCCGGGGGAATGGCCACAGTGCAATCCCTTCTTCACCATTCTCCTTTTGGGATCTGGGGCACGCATGCACACGCGCCCGACGTGAGTTTAAGCCACCAGGTCCAGGACTCAAACTGTGGTCAACTACATGGAAGGTCAGCAACATAGCCGTTACGTTAACTGCTGGTCCCTAGAAGAACATGAAATCTGCTATTGCTGAATGGAATGTTTTAAAATGTCAGTTGGGTCAAGTTGATTAATAGTGCTGTTGGAGGGGTTCTCTATCCTTATTTCCCGCTTGTTTTATCAGTTGCTGAGACAGAAGTGTTGAAATCTCCACTGTAATTATAAATTTGTCTCTTAATAGATTTATTTATGTTAATGTACTATTTCCTTTATGCTTATTTAGTCTCCCAGCACCTGTTTAAACATTTTTTCCAATATAAAATGTCTGTTTATAGCTAGCATGTTTTCCATTTTTCTGACTGAATTCCAACTAATAAATACATCAAATCTGCATATATGTTTAGATCTCTTTGTCAGTTCCTGCAACAATACCATATTGTCTCAATTATTATAGTTCTGTAATAATTCAATTATGATAGGGCAGTCTTAATATTCTTCTACAAGAGTATTATGACTGTTCTTACTATTTTGATCTTCCACGTTAGGGAAAAAACTCAACCACAGAGGGTTGTAAACAGTAAGCCTATACCGCTCCATGGATGCCAAAGGAGGACAAGACTTACTGAGTCAGTGTGACAGTTTATTACAGTACCTCACAGCAAACGGTGGTGGTATCAGCCCAGTTAAACTAGTTTCCCTGCCTCAAGTCCCCTAAGAAATTCGGTGGGCCCAAAGGGATGAAGGCTGGAGTTATATTTCAGCTGAGATACTTAGGACCAAGGACCTAGCACTATTGAGGAAGCCACAAGACACTGTAGCAAATAGCAAACCAGTACCCTTCGCTACAAGAGCAGTTCCATGGTGGTCGTGCTGTGGTTTCTTTGATCTACTAGTTTGCCTTTCTGACTATCTATAGAAACTGTATAGTGTCAGGGGATGAGTGAGCTTGTTCATTCAGAAAGACCTGCAGGGATGCTCAGGGTCTTTTGTGTGCTCTCTCTCCTCATACGTAACTAAAACATACTTGTTAAATTGTATAAAGAGAGCAAGAGAAGAGCTCCTTACACATGATTTTTTTATGTGTAGTAAAGCTTTGTAATTTACTGCATATAGATCTTGCACCACTTTTGCTGGTTACCCCTGAGAATGTTAATATCTTTTTTTTTTAGAGATTTTTGCTATAGGTCGTGTTTGCTCACCAAAAAGACAGAGAGATAGAAAGTGAGAAATCACCCCCCAAGGGGGATGGCCATGCTGCAAAGCCCTTCTCCTCCATTCTCCTCTTGGGATCTTAGGCATGCACGAACACATGCCCAGCGTGAATTTAAGCCACTTGGTCCGGGACTCATACCACGGTTGACTACAAGGGAGTCCAGTGACATAGCCATTATGCCATTTGCTGGTCCTGAGAATGTTTTGTCTTTTGTTGCTGTTAGAAATAGTATCTTTTGGGACCAGCAGATGGCATAATGGTTACATTGCTAGACTCACCACCATTCAAGCCCTGCCTGGACCCTATGACTTAAACTCTTATCAGGCATGTATTTATGCTTGCCCAAAATCCCAAGAGGAGACAGACTGGAGGAGAAGGAATTGTATCGTGGCCATCCCCCCGGGGCTTAATTTCTCGCTTTCTGTCTTTCTTTCTCTGGCAAGTACACAAATCCTATAGCAAAAATCTTTCTTTAAAAAAAAAAAAGTGTCTTTTGGGACCAGCAGTTAGCGTAATGGCTATGTCGCTGGACTCCCATGTAGTTGACTGAGGTTCGAGTCCCAGACCCGGTGGCTTAACCTCACGCCGGGCGCATGTGCATGCCTAAAATCCCAAGAGAAGAATGGAGGAGAAGGGATTGCGGCATGGCCATCTCCCCCGGGGGGTGATTTCTTGCTTTCTGTCTCTCTGTCCCTGTCTTTCTGGCGATCACATGCCCCCTATGGCAAAAACCTCTGCAAAAAAAAAAGTATCTTTTGATTGTTTTAAACATTATGGGTTACTAATACATAAAAATCTTACGTCTTTTCAGTTATGTATACATTTATTTCTTGTCTTACACATTGACTATGAATTAGAATGGAGTGAGGAAAGGATTGTATTTCTTGTATTGCAAGTCCTTTCTAAACATTATTTTAAGAAAATGATTGTATATGATACTTTTTTTAAAAACAGATGATGAAAAGGCAGGTGCAGGGAGGTGAGATGACTTGTTTAAAGACATAAGAGAATCAAGACTTGAAACTCTCTCACTCTGATCTCAAAGACTTATCTTTGCACTTTTTCATGCTGCCTCCAGATTTGAAGGAAAAACATTAAACATGTAGAGTTCTTTTTATTAAAATGGCTAAACATAGATAGGAATTTCATAACAATCTTAAAAAATATAATTCCACTTGTTCCTATAATGTGAAGCTATTTTTGATGACAGTATTTCTACTTTCAGGTAAGAGAAGGAAGGAAGAAATCAGAAGACCCACCGAAAGCGAAACAATGCATGCTTCAAAGAGTCAATCGGTAGCTCCTGAAAAACATCAAAATAGGAAAAGACAGGTATTTTTATAATTACATTTGGATAATACTTATGGGCATTAATATAACTTAATTGTGATTATTTCACATTATTTTCTATTCAGCTCTATAAAAACTTGAGTATAATATATATTTGATATTTGACCTCTTTAATTTTGTAATTTTAGAATAATTGACTAATCAGCCTATTCAGAATTCTAAGAAAATACTTCACTTGGATTTTTTTTTTTTAAAGAGATTTTTTGCTGCTGGGTGCATGTGCTTGCTAGAGAGACAGAAAGGGAGAAATCACCTCCCAGGGGGCATGGCCACTTGGCAGTCCTTTATCCTCCATTCTCCTCTTTAGATTTTAGACACACACACACACACACACACACACACACACTCTCTCTCTCCCCTGGCAAGAGTTTCAAGCCTCTAGACCTGGGATTCAAACCATGATTGGCTATGTGGGAGTTGACCACCTTAACCACTATGCCTCCTACTGGCCCCATTCACCTGCATTGTTAAAATAGTTAAGGGTTGGGACCAGCAGTTAGCGTAATGGCTATGTCGCTGGACTCCCACGTAGTCGACCGCGGTTCGAGTCCCGGACTCGGTGGCTTAAACTCACGCCGGGTGCGTGTGCGTGCGTGCCCAAGATCCTGAGAGGAGAATGGAGGAGAAGGGATTGCGGCGTGGCCATCCCCCCTGGGGGGTGATTTCCTGCTTTCTGTCTCTCTGTCTCTCTCTGTCTGTCTGGCGAGCGCACGCGCCCTATAGCAAAAACCTCTCAAAAAAAAAAAAATAGTTAAGGGTTGATGCCGACTTCTATTTAAAATTATTGTGATGCTGTCATAGTTCATATAAGACAAGACTTAAATCCACATTATAAGCTTTCATATTCAAATCTTTCTAACAGGAATCCAATATAAATAAGATTCTTCTGTACTTTAAAAAAAGAGATACCTTCTATCCGAAAATTTCATTAAAGCAGATCAATTTCAGGGGTTAATTTTTTCTTTTCTCCTCTCTGTGAATATAGTCCTGTGCCATATGTCCAGTGTCTGAAACCATTATTTCATGTATTTCATTTGATTTTCTAGTTGTTCAGAGCAGGTAAATAAATCCAGTCCTTGTTATTTAATCATGGTCGGAAGTAGGTGATCCTGTCGTTTTTTTTCTTACTCTTGAATGTTTACTTTGTTTTATTTCATTTTTCTTGACAAAATTATTTGTATGTTGATCATGTTAAGGTACTGCAGTTAGAGTCAAGATGCAGGCTACTAGGGCTTTCTCCTGTGACTCAGGGTTATTTGGCCTTTATTTCTTCTCCAGTGTACATGGCAAGCAACTCCTGCTTTTCTTGTCATTTTTTTAAGGTTTTTGCCATAAGGCATGTGCATTTGCTGGAGAAACAGAGGGGAATTGAGAAATCACCCCCTAGGAGGGATGGCCTCACAGCCATCCCTTTTCCTTCATTCTCTTCCTGCGATTTTACGCATGCACACACATGTGCCTGGTGTGACTTTCAGGCCACTACATCTGGGACTCAAACCATGGTTGGCCATGTGTTGTCCATTACCTTATCCATCATGCCACGTGTTGGTTCCTGCGACTCCTACTTACAGGTGTGACTTGTCTGTCTTATTCCTCTTTAAGCCCCACCATTCTGTCCTTTGAACTGATAATAGATTGAGGGGGCTGCTGCTTTTGTTGACCAGGGTATTTACCTCAGGGTGTGTTCCTTACTTTGGAGAAGTATTCAGGACAGGCAGGCCCTCCTCCTTCCTCACACAGCCCTTTTCAGTTTTTACTTATGTATCTCTTCCACCTATGCTGTGATCTAGATTAGAGATATCTGGTACTTTTTTTAGACTTCGAGATTTTATTTCTTGCCTTGTTGCTTTTGAGTGAATCTCAAACAGGGAGGGAGAAAGGCCAACCTTGTGTCACCATATATGACCGCAAGTCGTGTGAATTTTTTTTTGTCCTTGATCTTTTGCAGTTTGAATATGATATGCTTAGATATAGTTTTTTTTTTTTTTAGAATTCATCTTGCATGGTGTTCTTTAAGTTCTGCATCTGTGGCTTGCTGTCTGATTTTTGAAATATTCTCAGCCATTGTTATTTTAGATCTTTCTTCTGTTTCTTTTCTCCCTATCGTGTCCCATTATGCATGTCTTAGTCTTTTTAACTGTCACACAATTCTTAAATATTCTTTTCTCTTTTCTCATTTTTTTCCCTCTGCTTTTTAGTTTGGAAAGTTTCTGTTAACATACCTTCAGGCTCGTTGTTTTTTTTATTTTTTGCACTTCCAGAGTCTTTTTTATTGGCCACCTAGGGCTACAACATTAGCCGATTCACCAGAAATTCTGCTTTTCCTTGTGCTTTCCCTTCCAGTGTCTCCTGAAACAAAATAGGAACCAGGCTCTCTGTGGTGGTGGGGGATGAACCCCACCTGGGCCCCTCCCTGAGCTCATTGTTTTCTTTCTTCAGCTGTGTCCAGCCTGCTGATGAGCCCATCAAAGGCATTGTTCATTTTGCTACTATGCTGATTTTTAGCATTTACTTTTGGTTCTTTCTTAGGGTTTCAATCACTGGGCTTATATTTACCCATCTGCTTTTACATGTTTGTTGTCCACTTTTTCCTTTAGACCCCTTGGCTTAGTAATCACAAACCATTTTAAGCCACAGGTTGATCATTCTTAGCATATCTGAATGTGGTTCTGATTCTGGGTTTGTCTCTTCAGACTTTATTTCCCTTTTCACATGCTTGTGATTTTTATTGATATCTGGACATGATGTATCAGGTAAAAGTAACTAAGGTTAAATAGGTCTTAGTCGTGTTAGGTTTTATGTTTACCTGGCTAGGAGCTAGACTGTATGTGCTGTTTGCTGTAACTGCAGATGTCAGAGGCGAGAATTTCCTCTAGTGTCCTTGTTTTTGTCTCTTGTCTTTGGGTTTCTTTAGAGACATTTTTTGAGGAGAGAGGTTTTTGCTATAGGGCACATGTGCTTGCCAGAGAGAGAGACAGAAAGCAAGAAATCATCCCCCGAGGGGATGGCCACGCCGCAATCCCTTCTCCTCTATTTTCTTCTCGGTATCTTGGGCAGGCACATACACTCACCCAATGTGAGTTTAAGCCACCGGGTCTGGGATTTGAACTGCAGTCGACTACACGGGAGTCCAGCAACGTAACCATTACGTGAACTGCTGGTTCCGAGACTCCTTTTTAAGAAGGGTCTGAGGCAGCTCTTTGTAACTATAATCCCTCTCTGTTACTGTTCAGGATCCTGATTCCTGTGTACAGTTCCTTTTTTTTTTTTTTTTGAGAGAGAGAGGCTCTGTTCTAGGCTATGAATTTTGTAAGTGCTTTCAGGCTTCTTTCTCCCTCTTTGGGTGAAACAGGAGGCGAAAGAGAGCTGGAGTGGGGTATTTCCACAGGTAGGTCAGGTTCTTGTATAAACGTCTCTGTTAGACTGACAAAAATACCTTGTCTTGAGGGCTGGCTTTTGTTTAGGAGGGTGAAATGCCCTGGGAGTATTTTAAAGTAAGAAGTATTTTCAGGCTGCTTTTCCCTGCCCAGTGTCAGAAGCAAGAAGGAAATCTTCAGGTCTTCACCCTGAGACTTGGTGAGGCTCCTGGAGGTGACGTTCACAAAAGTATATGTGCCAGCTAAGACACGCCCCTGGAGTTCTTAACTCAAAAGCTTATTCACAGGGAACCAGCAGTTAGCATAATGGCTATGTCGCTGGACTCCCACGTAGTCGACTGTGGTTTGCGTCCCGGACCCGGTGGCTTAAAACTCACGCCGGCCGCGTGTGCGTGCGTGCCCAAGATCCCGAGAGGAGAATGGAGGAGAAGGGATTGCGGCGTGACCATCCCCACTGGGGGGTGATTTCTCGCTTTCTGTCTCTATGTCTCTGTCTGACGAGCGCATGCGCCCTATAGTGAAAATCTCCCCCCCCCCATAAAAAGCTTATTCACAGTGAATTCCTATCAGTTCATCAGTCACAGTTATTGGGTCATATGGAAAATTGTGACACATTTTTGCATAGAAAAACACGTCATGCCTTTCCCAGTGACCTAATACTTACTCCTATTAGTACTGGCCCCAGCTGCAAGCTTCTGCACCTGGGCTGCTGCTCCTGTGAGTCTTTATAAATCTGTGATTATATATCTTCCTGTCTCTCTAAAGCAGTTTGCCCTATGACATTAATTCTCTAATGGACCTAGAATGGTTACTGATTTTCAGTTTGTTCAGCTTTTTCCTCGTGAGAGCTGGAGTGAAGATTTCCAAGCTTGTTACATGTTCAACTGGAAACTGAAAGTCTCTATGTATGTGATGATCTTTGCCTGTAGTAGTTCTATCAAAAATGCCCAGTGAGATTGTGGATGTTATTTATAGATACAGATCAAGAAGTTTCTCTTTTCTTTGGTTTCAAAACAAAGTATAGGATATTTACCACACGATCTGTGGAATGCGTAGGTGATATCTATCCATGTTCCCTTTCCCTCCCCCCCAAGTTCTGTGGATATCCCAAGTGCCTCGTTTTATACTTTTTAGCTTTTAACTGTTGGCATTTAGGTAAGATAGCTTGTTTCAGATAATAAATGATAATTTTATTTTGTATTGAGTCTTTTGATTCTTTCAAATTTCTTATTGCCATAGTCCATGTCAAATCAGGTATTTTTACTGCATTTGTCTGTTCAGTAAACAGAGATTTCTGCCTCCCTCATCACAGTTTAAAGAGCTGGTGCCAGATGGTGGGACAGTGGTAAAACACAACATTCTGTGAGACAGTGCTATATGGAAAGGTGCCCAGTTCAAGTCCAAGTCAAGACCTCCTGAGTATACCAGGCACACGCTTGTCCATGATCTAGGCCTGGCTGAAGCCATGGGGTAGATGGTGGTATTAGAAGTGTATTGAGTGTACTGTCTCTTTCTCTCTTTCTGTCTCAATAAACTTAAAGAGCCTCCGTTTTATAAATGTATTTCCATTTGAGAAGAAAAGCCAATGCCTTTCAACACCAAGGA